CCCCACCCCGAGCTGATTCCTGGAAGGCTGGCTGCTTCCCAGCAGAGCCGAGGGACCCTGGGGCTACTGTCCCAGAGGATTTCCCAGGATTCCAGCTGCCCCACCCACCCAGCTGCCAGGCCTTCACACTGGGCGCTTCGGTCTCCTCTAGGCACCCTGAGAAGCTCTTAGGACCAGGAGCTCCCCATGGGCCTGCCCCACTGGAACCCAAGATGTAGGTGCCTCTGTGGAAGGGGTTGGATCCTGACTCGGTACCTCCAATCTCAAGAGGCTGAGCCCCCAGCCTTGCACAGTCGGCGGGGGTTGGGGGGAGGCATCAGAGGCCTCCCACCCCCACTCTGGGCCTTAGGGATGGAGGGCTTGTGCTGGGTGGAGGAAGGCCCTCCAGCTTGCCAGAGAGAAGTGGCAGGGGATGGGGTTCACCTCTCTGAGGTTCATGGGGCCAAAAGGCCTGCCCAAGGCCACTTTTTATTCTAGAAACCGTGGTGGCGGCTTGCCTCCCAGCATCCCTGGCACTTCTGACCAAGACCTTCCCAGCCCCGCCTCCATGGCTCCTTACTCTGATTCGCACCCCGACCCTCCGGCCCGGCCCAGAGCTTAATGGGCACTGGGTACATGGCCAACCTACCCGCCCAGCAAAGAGAGGACCGTGCGGTGCAGGGAAGGTGACCTCCATGTCACAGCGTGACTTGCCTTGGAGCTGCGGTTCCCACCCTCTGAAGCCTTGGGGGGAAATAATCGGTCAATGAGTGTAAGCCTAAGGGGGAGGCAGAAGTTCCAAATTTTAGAAGACAATTCGGAGAATATCATGGTGACCTTGAGGAGAGGGAGTTCTTAAGCAAGACACTAATTATAAAGCGGGGGGGGGGGGGGTGGCGATAAATTTAACTACAGAAGAGGAGGAACTTGTAATCTATCAAGTATTCCATAGAAGTGCAAAGACAGGCCATAGAAAAGAGAAACCTTTTTTCGGCAACACAAGCTACAGACAGGATTGGTACCCAGCGCATATAAATAACTGGCAGATTGCTGAGAAAAGGCTTCGGCTCCGCACGGAAGAGGACTGCAATTGGCTAAAACATAAGAAAAGGCGTCCAACTCCGCTACTCATCAGAAAAAGCAGCTAAAAATCAAAATATACCAGCGGGCCGGCACCGAATGGCTGAAGTCATGAAGTGTGATCCTGCCCAGGGATGGCAGGAACGGCACGCGGTGGGAAAGCAGGAACAGAAATCATGGCAGCCACTTGGGGAGAGGGGTTTGGTGCTGACTCACAGAGCCCCAGAGCCGCGGGGGGCTTGTCCACAGAAAGGGGAGCACACGTGCCCCAGCAGCACTGTTGGTAAAGCAAACCTGAAAATAACCTGGATCCTGAAACAGGAAGAACGGAGAAATAAACTGTGGTCTAGGCGCCCGGCGGAAAACGCCCGCCGTGCCAAAGCCCTAAGCACAGCTCCTTACAGGTGCCATGCACCCCACTGGGCTGCTACTGAGGGACCCGTCCGTGGTGGCAAAACCAAAAGAGGAGCAGGTAATGATCCTAAAAGTCAGACCGCTGCAGTAACTGCTGACAGAGGGGGGGCTTGTGAATGACAAGGAAACTTCCGGAATCCTGGCCATGTCTGATTTCTTGATCTGAGTAGCAATGACCTGGGAGTTCCTTCTCTATGTGTATTTATTTGTAAAACTGGGCAGATATGCTTCACGCACTTTTCTCTTTCCCGTTGTATGATTTAACATTTTTGAAAGCACAAGTGTATCCGAGCACTGTGCGGGGCGCTGGGCATTGGCCGGGCAGACCCCCACCCAGCCCTGCCCCTGGTGGGGTGCCGGTGAAGGTTGTGTGGGTTTCCCTCGGCCTGGACAGCACAGGGTCTCCCAGCTGCCGTAATATCAAGCCTACCATGCGTTGCTGCAGAGCCTGCCTGCTGGGCAGTGGGGTGCAGGCCCCTCCCCCTCACTGCCCCCATTCTCTCCGGGTCTCCCACTGTTTCGATTTCCCAAGATGGCCCTGAAGGTGACCCATCTGTCGTGCTATGGACATCTCCCTCTGCAGCGGGCTTGGAGCAGTCCTCCTCCTGGCCCCTTCCCTCTCCAGCAGCACATGTGACCTTGACGTGGGGCCCAGCGCTCTCTCCTTTGCCACCCCCTCCCCTCCCCCCAGTCTGGGGAGGTTATGGTGCAAACAGTTCTCCCTTGACTCCCAGGCTGCTGGGCCTGGATGCAGGCCAGCGCCCTATGGATCCTGCAGGCTCAGGGCCAAGAGGCTGGGATGGGAAGGACATTTCCCCCAACCTGTTTACCAGGACCCAGGGCCGCTATCTCCAGTTCCAATCTGCTGCCTCCCTTTATCTCAGTGGGGCCAGCCCCTGGTTCCCAGCAGCAGCCTCCCCGCCACTCACTTCCTGCCAGGGGCCCAGCGTTACAGGAATACGCACGCTGAACTCGGCTCGTGCGTGTGTGTGTGTGCGCGTGTGTGTGCG